AGAGAGCGAGAGAGCGAGAGAGCGCGCGCACCGAGCGAGAGAGAGAGAGAGAGAGAGAGAGAGAGAGAGAGAGAGAGAGAGAGAGAAAGAGAGAGCGTGAGAGAGTGAGAGAGAGAGCGCGATAGAGAGGGGGAGAACGAGAGAGAGCGCGTACGCGAGAGAGCGAGAGAACGTGAGAGAGCGTGTGTGAGAGAGAGAACTCAGAACGAGGGAGCGAGCGCGCGCGCGAGAGAGAACGAGAGAGAGAGATATAGGGAGTGCGAGAGATATAGGGAGTGCGAGAGAGAAAGAGAGAGAGCGAGCACCTAAATTAAAACGAAAACCAGAAGCAAAGAACATCAGTCCACATTCATGATAAATAACTTGTGGATATCTGCTACTATATCTATAAATGGATCATCATCACTTTTGGAGGGAAAACTTTACATTGGACAAAATAAAGCAATAGGTCACTATTTATAAAAATTTAAGTGTGCAAATCATGCCTTGTGATGTTTCTCTAAATTAAATAACAGTATTTATATTTATTCAACTAAATATGCTCTAAAATCTGGAATTTTAATATGTGGATATATGCTACTATTTCCCATGTGGATACCTGCTACTATCAATTATGTTAATTAACAGTGCTTTAATTAAGCGACAGAGTGAAAATCGTTTCATAGTATTGTTTAATGTCACTTTTTCTTCCATTCTGTAAATTTTTGTAGAAAACTGTATGTTAGCCCCTAAAATAATTTTCTAGCTGTCTAAGCTATTTTGCAAAGGAGAGTGCCATAAGGGGGTATATACCTGTAGTGCGTCTTCACTAAAAATCTATTTTTCTGAATATGGTGGATATTGGTGAACATTGGAATTTTGTTGCTATTAACAATCTAATGCATATCCACTTAACTCACAGCTCTATTCACTCATCAAAACTAGTTAAATTAGAAAATGTGGATATTTGCTACTAAAAAATTTTAAACGTCATCATTTTCTAATTTTCAGGGAAAAATGTTATGTTTTCATGTTATTATGTGTTAGAACACTTGCTTTACATCAGTTTCCCAATGTATCAGCCATTTAACAATTTTTTGTAAAAATCTGTGGTATCATCACGACAGCATGTGGATACTTGCTACCTACTACCCTAGTGATGATGATGATGACGAGAGTGCTAGCCATGCTGGTGATGATGATGCACAAAATTCTTCAGATTCGGAGATTATACCCACAGTGTCTGATGTCAGTGGTGTACATGTACAATCAGTACATGACAGAAAATGCAACATGTGCTTTTTTGTCACCAGTACAAGAGCAAAATGGCTAGGCATCTTGAACAGGTGCACTCAGAAGAACCAGAAATTTCCAGTATTTTGAATCTCCCCAAAAACAGCAAAGTACGTAGACAAGCTTAGGGAATTGTGTTGAATAAAGGCAATTTTAGACATAATTATGAAGTTCTTGAGAAGAAGAAAGGCATGCTCATCCCAAAATATCGACAGAAAAACACAAGTAGTAAAAGTCTTGTACCATGTGAGTTTTGTCTGGGAATGTATTCACGAAAAGTGCTCTGGGAACATCAGACCCGATGTTGCAAGCGACCAACTGATGCAAATACTAAAGGAAGATCCGGAATACAAAGTGGAAGACTGCTGCTCCCTGTAGAGTCCGCAAATAGAAATCTGTATAAAAATGTTCTCGTTAGGATGATTGATGACAACATCAAACCAATCATTGAGGGAGACGGGCTCATCATGAAGCTGGCAAACCGCTTGTATGCCAAGTATGGGCATGAATCCCAGAACCACCAGTACATATCCCAGACACTGAGGCAAGTTGGTCGATTACTCTCTGTCACCAAAAAACTAGGAACTCCACTTCATACCATCGAAGAATGTTTGAACCCTGGCAACTGGGAAGTACTAATTGAAGGCGTTAAAAATTTGGCAGAGTATGATGAAGAAACTCACACTTATACCAGACCAAGCCTAGCTTTGAAGGTTGGATACAGCCTCAAGAAGTGTGCGAAGATATTAAGATCTGAGTCTTTGATGACAGATGATGAGGTGAATTTGCAAAAAAGGAATGCTGCCACAAACTTCTTGACCCTGTATGAGGATGATTGGGGTGACCGTATATCAGCAAAGGCTCTGTCAACAATGGACACAAACAGATACAACTCTCCCAAACTTCTGCCACTGATGACTGATGTTGTGAAATTGCAAACCTACCTACAGAAGGAAGCAAAGGCTGCTGCTCAGGAATTGGCCGAGGGTACCGACAGCTACGCCAGACTTGCGAAACTGTGTTTAACTCAGCTTATTCTTTTCAATAGGAGACGTTCAGGTGAAGCGCAGAGAGTACAGCTTTCAGAACTAAACAAGGCTTTAAAAACTGAACATGAACTAGAAGAGGAGGACATGTGTAAGGTCCTTTCGAAGTTCGAGATGCACTTACTGAAAAGCCACCTCAAAATTGAGACAAAAGGAAAAAGAGGAAGGAAAGTGCCCATTCTTCTACCTGACACTTTGGCCAGCAGAATCAGGTGTTTAGTCGAGCATCGTGAGAAAGCTGGTGTGATGAGCAACTTTGGAAGGAAAGGTGAGGGTTATACTGTACATAGTGAACATGTAACAATGTAGTTCTAAAAATGAGCTTAATACCTGAAATGTAGTATGGTCGCCGTAGGTAACTTGGACAGTTGGACAATAAGCAAATCTCAACAGATGTTTTCCATATTTACAGATAAAGCCATTGCACAGAGCCAGAGTGACTTGGTTATTGGGGAGTTTTAGACACAAAAATAACAGACAGATATCATAGCTAATTTACATAAACATGGCTACCAGAAATGTCAAAATATACCTCTATTATTTAATATTCGAAAAGCGTGAAGGCACCCATCTCTACAATTGTTTTGGAATTTGTACTGACATGCACCTGTTCAGAATTATAGTTTAGCCCATAACAATAATACATCGAAAAACAAAATGTGGATGTGCAAATATGGTTTGTTAGATCCAATCTTACATTTGTTAGCCGTTTCATTCTCCATTTGTGTTATATTGTACTCACTGCATCATAACAGGAGGTTCAATGGAAAATTGATGATAAGTCGAGAACAATAACTGATCCATTACGTAATCTGGTGTAACACAAAAAACTGCACATCAGAAAAATTTGAATGATTTTTCAGCTCGCCGGGAAAAAGTCCAGGGGAGCTAATGCTGTACCCTCGGTGTCGGCTGAGGACAGCTGGTTAAAGCTTGTGACTTAGGGCCTTCATATTTGGTACACATATTCCTTGGGTGGTTGTCTACCCTAGCAAAATTTCCATTAAAAGAAGTGTTGTTTTTCGCAATGTGATAACATATGTATTATCTTCCTGTAAAAAATACCTTTTCTCATCTATGGAATTGGGCATATTTAGGTACCATGCCAAATAAGTAATAATATTTTGAATTTTTTACTAATAGATAGCCTCATGGAAAGATGTGAAGAAGTTCTATAATGCTGACAACAGCTTGCCGGTGAAATTAGCACCAAAAATCACTGCAAAACATATATCTGCCACCATTTTTACCGATGAGGGTAAGAAAATGCCATAATAGTGCATAATTTCAAGTCTCAATGAGAAATGAGAAATCATCAGTGTTTTTAAAGAGCCGCAGAGACAACTAGTACGTATACCTGGGACAGAAATTAAGTTTAACATTTTTATAACCATTAAATTTAGTTTATAAAAAATTTGCAATCCTGGATCTTATCGCAGCATGCTCATACTGTTTACCGTTTATGCAGAAGAATATCCTAGTATGTGTAAATACAATTGAGATTTTATAATAGTCTTGCAGGTCAGTCTTGCAGCACAGGTCTGCTCTCATACAGTGTATGCTGGGATGCACATTCTGGCATCCATTGGGAGACTCGGGAGCCAAGCACACATGACAGCGGACTTTCTAAAACTAGTCAATAATGTGTTTGACCTTCTCAATGTGAGGGCATATGGAAAGACTGCTGCACCATTCACGGAACACAGCGACAAGCAGCTGAACACCCTACTGGATCTGAAAGCTCAGGTTCAGAAATGGCACATGATAGTGAAGGGGAAGAAGTACAGACCACCTTCATTTGATGCTCTTATTGAAGACTTCAATGTTGTCATATCAATACATGAAGATTTGGTGGTGAAAGGGCCTTTGGAGTTTTTGCTTACTGGGCGCCTGAACCAAGACTGCATAGAAAACGTTTTTCCCCAGATAAGATCGAAAGGAGGACACAGGTTTAACCCATCTGCACGAGAGTTCCGCTTTGCCTACAGAAACCTGTCGTCAAATTTTATATTGGCGAGCCTTCCATCTGCAAACTGTGTCTATGACAACGATATAATGCTCAGCCGTTTAAGGCATCTATCCAGTGAAGCATGTAGCATACATGAAGATCACTCACAGAAACCAGCATCAAAACGCCCTAGGACAAAGCAGTCGTCTGTTGCACAGAAAGAACTCGAGGTTATTGCAACTGCGGACTTTGAAACTCCTGCAGAAGTGACCAATGCTCTTGCGTACATATGGGGTTATCTAGTGTGTTACGTGATAATAGATTAGAACCATGTTGGCCCATAGGTGGAGCTATGATCACGGGGCCTATAGTATATATACCACCAACAGGTGCCATGTGCATTTTCTTACTTTCTCAGTACAGCCTCCTGGCACTACCTGGTCAAGCTCGGTGTTCAGCCTTTTCTTTGTGTGTACAGTAACACGTAATTACATGGTGGCGGCGGTGGGATTCGAACCCACGCCTCCGAAGAGACTGGGCAGCGGTTATCGGACTACAACGCAGCTGTTAAGTGAACTAGAATGGTTAACAGGCCAGTGCAAGGTATACGCGCTTCACTCCCGTTGTCCGTGGAGGGAGATATAGTTGAGAGATGGAAAACCTTCAGACAGCAGTGGAAGAACTATGTGATAATCATCTGAAGCAGCAGACCAGTGAATACAAGGTAGCTCTGTTCCTGCACACCCTCGGAGAAGTGGCGCCCAAGGTATATAATGGGTTCCATTTCTCGACGGAGAAAGAGGAGAGAATGGTGTAGGAGATTATCGATAAGTTCGAGAAGTTTGCAGTGGGTGAAACAAATAAAACCTACGAAAGATACGTGTTTAACCGGAGGAATCAAGACAAAGGTGAGAGCTTTGAGAACTTCCTAACGGCAACAAGGTGACGTCCATTCTCATGGACAGAATTGTGTTGGGTGTACGAGACACAGCGACCCAGCAAGCTTTACTGAAGGAGCGCGAGCTGACGCTGGAGCACAGCATCAATATCTGTAGAGCCGCGGAGAATGCCACGAGGCAATGTCATGCTCTACGGCAGGAGACGGTAAGCAGAATATCGATGCGCAGGGGAAACTCCCGGAGAAGCACAGAGGAAAAGGGGAGGACGAGACAAGAGGCGGAGAGAACGTGTAAGTTTTGTGGGCAAGAGCATGCGTTTAAGAAGAAAGAGTGCCCGGCATGGGGGAAAGTATGCACCCAGTGTGGGGAGAAAAACCGCTTCGCTAGGAGATGCCTACAAAAGCAAAGAAATGACACACGATCCGTCCACAAAGTGGACAGAGAACAGACAGATTCAGACGAGGAGTGGATCTACTCCGTCGATGTAAGAGCACCTCGTAAAGAAGTAGGATGTCTGATGCTGATGGGAGATAGTGATGTAATCTTCCATGTAGATACGGGGGCGTCTGTTAATATCCTTCCTGCCCGGTATGCCACCCACATCTCCTCCACGAGGAAGACACTAAAGATGTGGAACGGGACTGAGCTGTCCCCACTAGGCACCTGCAGAACACCACTCAGAAATCCCAGAAATGGTAAGAAATACTCGGTCGAATTTGTAGTGGTAGAAGAATGGAGGAGACAATTTGGGTCATCATTGCATTGGAGGATTTGTGGAGAATTATAGCGCTGCAAATTATATCTGTAGATTCTGTCATCTTGAGAGACAAAACTTGCAGTTGGGACCAAAGGAATGGGGCAAGGCAACGTTTCGGACAAAAGATGATTATAGTATAGATGTTGAAAATGTCGTACAAAATGGGCCTACTGTAAATAACAGCAGGGGGGTGAAATTTGAATCCGTATTCAATCAGCTGATGTATTTTCATGTTGTAAGTCCAGGATTTGCACCATGTTTAGGCCATGATATCTTTGAAGGCGTTGTTGCGTATGACATGGCCTTGTTTGTGAACCATTTTATATCCGAGAATTGGTTCACGTGTACATACTTCAACATGGCATTGTCAAAATTCAAGTTTAAAGGCCATGACAACTCGGACAGACCATGCCCTTTCAACACATGTTGTGATAAACTAGGGGGACATGCGGTTCAAAACTGGAACTTCCTTCGGTTTTTTACAGTTATTATTGCAGAAAAAATAAAAGACCATAACAATGCAGTATGGAAGCTTGTCTTGTTGCTTCAAAAATAGTACAGTATGTGTGCGCTCCAGCAATTTCAAAAGGTCATGTTGGCTATTTGCAAACGCTGATAGATGATTATTTGGATCTGAGGAAAAAAGCATTTCCTAACACACCAATTAGGCCCAAGCACCACTATATGTGGCACTATCCCGTCCTCATCCTACAGTTTGTATGTTTGATTCAAGTATGGACATTGCGATTCGAAAACAAGCACAGTTATTTTAAAAGGTGTATTCGCGTTGGCCAAAATTTTAAGAATGTGACAAAAACATGTGCCGAAAAACATCAAATGCTACAGGCATATTATTCAGCGGGATCTTTGTTTGGTCAACGTGTGCAGATTCCAGATTCTGTTAGTATGGACGGCAACTTAAGAACCGACATTGTAGATGCTGTTGATAGGTCTCTTGGAAATAACAGTAGCTTTCGTTGCAGTGACAAAGTCATTGTTTATGGCACTCAGTACAAAAAGGGCATGGTTGTTTTAGAACGATATGACGATGAAGGGCTGTCTGTGGGAATCCTTCTTCTTGTCGTGTCAAGTAATATTGATAATCCCCACCTGGTGTTGAGGTTAGCAAGTGCAGAACTTGATTCAAGGCTAAATGTGTATGAACTTAATTTTCATGAAAACGCTGTGATTTGTCTACCAGTGTCAGCATTGCTGGATTATTATCCCCTCGAAGCATATTACCATAACGAAGAACAAGAACAAGGATGCTATGTGATTCTGAAACATGCCTTCTTGGATGTTGTGGATGATTAGGCGGGGGGAATGAGGGGTGCCATCACAAGGACTGAACTGTGGGGATACTGATAGTGACAGTTTAATTTAGGTGATTCAAATGGAATTCAGTATTGCAGACTTGATCATGACCGATGATATGGAAAGTGTGGATCTAGTGCGGGAAATAGTCGCCAAAGCACTGCCTTACAAGAAAGGTGAGACGTTGGACGAAATAGTCGAAAAATTGAAAGAAGATGGTTTGATGGATGAAGAGGACTTCAAATTTTTACAAGAAGAGGACCTTTTAAAGATACTCCCGGCTGTCCAGGCAAGGCGATTGATTGCATTTGTCAAGGCTAAGGACTTTGGTAAGTGAACATCTGCTCATTACATACACAATAAAATTGATTTTCAGCTCAAATGGTCGTGCATCACGATCCTCCCGTTGTCCGTCGTCGTCAATAGTTCTACACGTTTCTTTAGGTCCCCTGTACACGGCGTGACACCTAATGATGAAGCATGGAGATTGCCAAAGAATCATCGCTCTACGGACCCCAAACTTTGTACTTGAACTGTACCCCTGACCCTTTGGCCCTTGTGAACCACTTCCCACGTGAAAAGGACTTGGAGGGGGGTGGGGGTGAAAAGTCATGTTCACTTCTCCACTGACATGACTGGAATAATTTGTCGGGGTACATGTACTATATAGTCTGTCTCAAAAATAACTGTCGCCATGGTTTTGGAGTCTGGAGCAAAAACTACTAGACGGATTTCGTAAAAGTTTGGTTTTTCTTTATTTAAATTCTTTGACCAAAACGATTTGAAAATTTCAGCAAAATCGGCCAAGGAATAAAAAATCTGTTTCTATAACTTCCATTAAAAAGTTCGAGAAAGGCGTAATGCATTTTCCATTAGCAATTTCAGGAAAATTGTAATGGAAGTTATAGAAACAGATTTTTTATTCCTTGGCCGATTTTGCTGAATTTTTCAAATCGTTTTGGTCAAAGAATCTAAGTAAAGAAAAAGAAAAACATTTACGAAATCCGTCCAGTAGTTTTTGCTCCAGACCCCAAAACCATGGCGACAGTTATTTCTAAGACAGACTTAAGTAAACCCAAGATTTGAAGCTCTTCTCTGCCGGACAATTTTTTTTGGGTTACTCTAATGCTAAATGGGAAAAAACCATTCTTTTCAGACTCCTGGGCACCAGTTGGTCCACAAGCTAGCCAGCACTGTACTTTTCAGGATAAAATTTCAGAGAAGGAGCCAAATTTCAGATTGTGAGCTGTATGAAGATCGGCATTTACTGGCTTTGCCTCTACTTGCAAAAGAAACGTTTGCCCTTTGAATGATCTAATGGCCCAATTTGTACCTTTCAGTGAGATCCACGAATCCTACTTCTCCTACCACATGTACCAGTGACGACACAGACGAAATCAGCATTTCTCCTGTTGGTTCGCCGTCCACTTCAGGATCATCTTCACCTGTCGTGCCTTGCTTCGCTTCACCTATATCTGGTCCGGACTGGGAGACATATGCAATTCCCTGGGAGAAGTTGCCCCCCGACTTCATGGTGGCATGTCGAAAAGGCAGGGCTCCAGAGCCCAGTTCCCGGAGAGAGATGGTTCGGATTTTTTCGAAAGACATTAGAAGTAGGAAGAACCTTCCTGGAAGGGCGGCATTGAGGACCCTATCAAAGAGGATGGTGGCCCTCTATCCGCGTTCATTTGAGAATCGCTTACCGAATGGGGTACTCGTTGACAACGGGATTGTTGGTCTCGTTACTGCCTTTGAGAACTGTATTTTCAATTTGATGCGCTCCGATAAAGCAACCCATACGGCATGTACGGCCAGGTTCCTTTTGAAGAGATTGGATGCAAATGTCGGTGAGAATGCTGAATTGGTGCAGCCCGTAAAGAAGATAAAAATTGTGCATGACAGCTATGGATGTGTTAATTGGCAGCCGGGAAAGTTCGACGAGGGAGAAAATGATGAGACCCAAACGCAAAAACAGGAGTGGTTGAAAACGGAAAATGAAAAACCTATTCCAGATATGAAAAACGTGAAAGAGTTTATGAGTAGCACGTACCCTAGCCAGTGGCTCTTCCTTAATAGGTCTAGTTCACCTTCTACCACTGAAGTTATGAAGGAATGGCCATTCCTGTTCAATTTCGAGTGCATGATGGCTCATTTCGAAACTCTAATGGGCTTTGGCTTGGAAGAAACTCTTGCGAACAACCTACAAGATAATGTGGATGGCATGTGTGAGTTCTTCGAAGAACTGAGTTTCTCTTCCAAGAACAAACTCCTCCGTAAATGTGTGAAGGATATGAAGCAGTATGATGGAAATGGTGACGGTCATGGCGGTGGGATGCAACGATTGGTTGGAGCTATACTTTGCCTCATAGCCTACTTCGGAGAGGAGGAGTCGATAATGTGCATATATTTTGAGGTACCTGTAAGTTTTTATTGGCCTTGTAGCACCGTGGAGAATTGATCCACCATACGCCGTGGATTGGTCCGCAAGCCACGGTTATCAGGGGTATAGAAATGAGGGATTTTGCAGTGAATAATCTTTGCCCCTTTGGTTGACCTGTTATAATTTTGGCAACAGTGGGGTGGGGGGGGGGTGATTATTACTATCATTTCACTTGACGCTGTAAAGTCTCAGCAGTTGCCTAGACAACTGACCATAAGTGAGTTTTTTTTAGCTAGTTTCACTGGCTTCCTTGTGCGCAGTGTAAATTCCAAGAGAACATGGAAGGACATCTGCATCTCTTTCCAACTTGTAGTCCACAGGGCTACCACTAATTTCCACCTCTGGTTATATAGTGGACCGATTCTCCATGGTACCTAGGTTATGGTCTGCATTTCAGCTCCACCCATCTTCAATAACATTGCAAAAATCCTTTTGGCATTGAGTTTGCCAGGGTTTTAGTTTTACATGTACCCTTCAGGAATTTGATAGATCATCGCTGTACTTTTAGTTTTAGCACCCAACGAACTCAAGTGATTCAGTCAGTGAGACAGGGATTGTATCAGCCATGATGAAATCTTTAAATTTCAGGATATTGCCACTGTGAAAAACGTGGAGAATGCGCACAAGATTCCGGCTCTACCTGGCCTGTAGGTTTTTGCAAGACCAGTTAAAATGATATGCTGCTGAATGCTAAAATTCTTTACATTTCAGGATATTGCCACTGCGAAAGACGTGGAAAACGCACATAAGATTCCGACTACACCGTTCATTGCTGTTCGAGGTAGGTGTATGTGTTGTGAAACTTTGTCCATTTCCTTGAGCACTATACATGTATTTTCAATGGACAACCTCAATCTATGTTGGATCGATTTAGCATGTTTAGTAGGCCAGTTTCATAATGTTGATCTCTAGCACCGTGCAAACATAAATTGGGTCGACTCCAATCATTTCCAATTGCTAAGAGTGTCGGGCATCTGATTTTTCGTCGCTCTTACCTCCCGGTCCCTCCCGCACTCTTAAGCGCTCGATAGATATCGCTCAGGTAGTGTACCTCTGCTGGCAAGTCAAAATGGCGCTAATGGCAAATTTACCTAATTAAAATTACTTAAAATGAATGGGAGAAGCACAACGGATGAAATGGCGCTGCTCCATCGTCGCATTAGAGCATGTAGAGTGGCAGAGTGTGTCAAACAACTAGTTAGAGCGACAGGCTGCTGCATCAATTTGATTCAAACATAGCTCTTTTCATGTTCCTATCAGAATTTAATTAGGCACATGAGTAGAGTAACATAATGAATTGGGCCTTGCCCTTGCTGTACAAAAACTATCCTTTCTTTCAATGGAATATTTATTTATTTAGGTCCCAATGCCTTTCTGGCAAAGCGTTTCTTTCTTGTCATTGACAAGAAAGTGGTCAATGATGACCTGCACAGTTTCATGGATGCCCTCAAGTCTCTCTTCGCATCGTTCTACATTTTGAACATTCGATACTCTCCAGGGATCGCAGTGACATTGGAATTCATGCAACGGTAAGATTGAACATATCACGGGAAACAATAGAAGAAAAGCCATTGGGTACTTTAAAGGGGCTCTTTTGCGATAGTCGAAAGTTAAACCTAAAATTTGTTTTATAACTCAAAAAAACGAATTCTGCCATCTTGCATATCACGAAAGAACCCCTTTAACTTGTGCTCACGAGTGGTTCAGTTTGAGATATTTTTTTCTTTGCCTTAACGAGGCAGAAAAACTGACTGATTCAAGGAATATTCACTGAGCTGTTCTATCTATCACTCTGTCACCAGTGTTCTCCACAGGCGGTCCAATAGCTCGGGTGGCAGAGTTCCCGAGATGAGGCCGGGGTGTTGTGTCACATTTTTTACTATAATAGAGTTGCATGATTCAAGGACTACTTTCCGACCACAGAATGTTGTTATATGGGTGATTATGCATAAGGTTTGGTGAGGTTTCAACCTGTCGACAGTTGTATCTTGATTACCTAGAGTGTAAAGTCTAAAGAAACCATCAACTGCAATTTGAATGGGCAGTGGAGCATTAGGTCGGGTGATGATCGCCTTTAGGCCATTTAGCCCCGCAGTCTGCCTGAGCTAACCTTCCTCATGTTATTGGTGTATTTGGTCTTGTTAGACTGCCATTCATTATCTTTCATTATCCTTCAGAATTCTTGCAATGTTGAATCCAGGGAAAAGAGAGCAAGACAGGGAAAACTGTCATCAACCCAAGGATTTCCTCGCTGCTCAACAAACTGAAGAACGCCACCAGCCGCTGGAATGTCGACAAATTTACCTCCTAATTGTACCACCTGCCGTGCCTTGCTTCAACGATATCTAGTCCGGACTGTGAGACGTATCAAGAGTAGATAATAACACAAGAGTGAGACACCCGATTCCCGCATTTTTAACCGATTTTTCTCATCAAAACTTGCCATCAATAAAGAAGCAAGTGTATACGTTCTTCAGCTTATTATGACCACTAATCACTCACCTTCGTGGTACTGATATTCGTTTACATATATTTGCTAGCTTATCGCTGTAAATCGTAATCTTGCACGAGCTGAATTCGCACGATTTATATATGCATACAGTTTATACAGGACTGTGTACATTGTAGTGTTCAGTCTATCAGACCTGCCAACCAGTACGATTTTGGCGTATTAATACGCTTTTTTACCGAAAATCTGGGTCCAGTACGATAATACGATTTGGCCCCAAAAATACGATTTTAAATAGTCAATATCACCCCCTGAGTCATTTACACTGCCTTAAAATGCATTCTAGGGATTCCAAATGCCTTTAAAGTGGCCTTTAAAGTGCCTTTAACTTGGAATCTTTTTTTTTAGATCCAACTTCATTCCTTTTCCCTAATTTGTGCGCTAATGAACCATTTTATACTAAAAGTAATGATTTTATAATGTTTCCAAACTACCAATGTACAATAAATGACTTGCATGAATTTGCATTCATTAATCTAGCCTTTTGTTTTAAGCTTCAAAAGCAGCCCCTGTGTTGATTGGCCCATTTCCCTCTCCATAGCATATGTCCAACATGTCAGCGTTATGAGTCATTTCTCAGAGTTGTACATTGGTAGTTTGGAAACATTATAAAATCATTACTTTTAGTATAAAATGGTTCATTAGCGCACAAATTAGGGAAAAGGAATGAAGTTGGGTCTAAAAAAAAATTCCAACATTATGACCAACAGTGTACATGCATATGTGCAAACCAAAACAATTACTAGTTAAAGGAATGAGGACATACTCTAGATATCTATGAGAAAAACAAAACAAAAATTGAAAAGAGGAGCAGATGTGAAAATAAAAGCTCATCAACCTTTTTAATCATTCTATGTGTCCTATATTACCAAATCAAAAATGATTAAACGAGAGATAATAAAAATATTCCATACTTGAATAAACCATTTTCTTTTCTCTTAACACTTAACACTTTATTGAATCCTAATGTTTCCATAATAATCAATATAAGGAGTACAAACAGGATTGGATGAGAAGTCTGATTCTATCTAATCTGGTGTCTATAATGTCTTGCAGGCAGAGATGACATACCTGATGCTTGGTTCGCGAGTCTACAAAGCACTGATGACCAAGTTCCAGCCAATGAGCACCAAGGAGAATTTATGATGGGTCCTAGCACATCATCCATCCAAGATCCTCAGATATGTGCAGTAGACTCTTTGAGCTTACAAAGGTCTTTCGACAATTCGTTCGCACAGAGAGGACAAAGGATCGAGACATCTGTTGGGGATGAAGATCTTGCTCAAAAGGTTTACAAGTTTGCTGATACTCTAACCTCCAAGCTGAGAGAAGAAGGCGATTCTTTCAGAGGCCCCTTAAATAAGTTTCTCAGACGTGTTGAGAACATCAATACATATAGCGCGCTCATATCTGCCTTGGTAACATTTGGCAAGTACAGTGGATATGCAGTTTCCAAGAGAGCAAAACGTAGCAACAGATCCCTGCAAACTCCGACCCAGATTGGTGTGCAGCCCACTGCTATAAGCAGGCGGAAGACTGCTCTGGGTGGAAGAAGGGCACTAATAACTGGTCGCCCTGTGAAAATTAAACAAAAGGAGCATGGATATGCTAAGGTACAGAAGCATTGTTATACACTAAAGAGGGGTGTGCTTCCCAAAAATCCACGGCCTGCACCACACTCACTATCTCATTGTGTCTATTCTAATATTGCGCTGGGTACGTAAGAGGCATTCAGCTGGGCATTGAAAGTGTTTGCCATAAACCTTGGCTGAGATATTCTGGAATTCATATAGGATGTAGTATTTATTTGGTTGCATTTGAGGACAATTTAGACCATGTATTTATCCTTTTATTCAACAAAGTAAGCACTATATACTGGAATTTTAGTTTGAAATATTCTGGCATCCGTACGCGTGACGTCACCGGTATTGCTATGTGTTTTGCCTACTATATATATATACAATACCGGTGACGTCACGCGTACGCATGCCAGAATATTTCAAACGGAAATTCCAGTAGTGCTTACTTTGTTGAATAAAAGAATAAATACATGGTGTAAAGTTGTGTAAAGTGTTCAAAAAGATAGATGAGATGTCCACGTAGATAGATAAGTGTTATAAAGCCCGATCATTTTGCGTTTTGTAAAGCGATTTTTCGTGAGAACTTTGGGAACCTGCGTTGATGCTAAATCAAGCTGACAATGTTCTATAGCCCTGCTGCAGTCAATGTACGCGGGCTACTATAGTACTAGAGCTAATATCTAGGGAGCAGAGAACACCGAACACAAATGTCCTCTGTTAACATGACGCCCAAAACAAAGATTGCAGAGCTGAGTGGCGGGGAGCATAGGGTGTAGAGAGGGAAGCGTAGCAACCATTAAAATATTAAATCATCCACTATTTTGCGCAGTTTGTTGTTTTTGGCCCCCTTGTAAAAAATCATGGCTACACCACTGCTAGGGACTATAACGAAGACGGAGATACAAGTGGATCAAATCGATAGATCTACACTGATTACCGTGGCAAAAGTTGCAATTTTGCAATTAAATACGGTACGCAAGCAATTGAGAATATGCACTTCGGTAGGAAATACATGTCGTGGTTATTTACCATCATTTTATTATTGAAACGTTCCAAGTGCATGTGGTTCGATCAATTAACGTCTCTACAAGCCAACTATTTCCTCTCATATCTTCTACTCCGACTAGAATCTACGTCGACTGTTTCACGGTACGTAGGAGAGACTCAGGTTAGTTGAGCCGGTTGGTTAGTTGAGCCACCCCCTCTAAAATAAACCATGACCATTTTTAAAATGAAATGCTGCCATCTGGTGTTACCTTATGGTACAGGGAACACATGTGCTAAATTTGACAAATGGATGCAGACTACAAGCTTGTGTAAATCAACAAAATTTGATTTTTGCTGTTCAAAGTGAATTCCGTGAAAAGTGGTAAGTGTCCTCATATTTTCTACACCTTATAGAATTAACTGACTATCATGATACAGTTGAAAGGAGTATCATTGTATATCGTTTTAACCTTATTATTAGATTTGTGTCTAGTAAGACTTTCACCTTTCACCACGATGAATTCAAAATGGTGGGTGTCGTGTTAGTTGAGCCGATGTGTGTGTGGTTAGTTGAGCCAGTGGCTCAAGTTACCCCATTCGTGGCTCAAGTTACCCCATCATATTGCAACCATGTAAATTATGTATGTGATGCAACTTGACACAGTTTCTGTTCAATCAGAATAGCATATGACCTAGACTAAGCTATAATAAATAATTCATATTGCATTTTAGCACTTTTAAGAGTGGAAAGTTGGCGATTAAATAAATAAATAGTTAAATAAATAGATATAATAAACAAATATTTTTTTTCTTTTAATTTTTCTTGCAGAACGAGTATGCCACGAATCCACAAGAGGAAGAACAATAGAGGAACTACTCATATAGATGTTCTTAAAATGGCTGTGACTGCTGTTAAGAATGGAGCCAGTGTTAGGTCTTCTTCCAAAAATGTCGGCATCGATCGTATGACATTGAAGCATTTCATAGATAAGCGTGACAAAGAACCTAGCTGTGTCACTGGGTACAGAGTGATATCTAACTGCCATGCCATCTTCAGTGAGGAAATGGAACGAGACCTGATATACCACGCATATTACCGATATGGCAGATCAGTTCCATGGTCTGCCCCTGGTAAAGAGTTTGGCGCTAGCTTATGAGTTTGCCGTAGCAAACCAACTACCAATGCCAGAGAATTGGAAGAGGGACCACAAAGCTGGGAGAGAGTGGTGGGCAGGGTTTAAACAACAACAGCGACTGTCCATTCGAAGCCCGGAAGCTACCTCATTGGCAAGGGCGGCAGCATTTAATAGGCCTGTGGTAAACAAATTCTACAACAACCTTGAGGATGTCCTCCAGCAATATCAGTTTGATGAGAGGGACATATATAATATTGATGAGACGGGTTGCTCCACTGTGCAAGAACCAGGACGGGTAGTTGGAAGGAGAGGACAAAAGCAACTTGGATTTGTCAAGTCAGCGGGAAGGGGTGAGCTTGTCACTGCTGTTTATGGTATCAGTGCTGCTGGAGTTACTGTGCCTCCAATGCTGATTTCCCCCCCGAGTTAACTACAAGGACCATTTCATAAAGGAAGCGCCTGCTGGTACGACAGGCAAAGCATCACAATCCGGATGGATGAAGACAGACATATTCCCAGAATATCTCACTCACTTTGCCAACCATGTCAGATGCTCGCCAGAGAAGAAGGTGCTGATGCTTCTTGACAACCACGAGTCACACATCTCTCTGAAGGCTATCGACAAGGCAAAAAAACTTGGCATTGTTCTTCTAACAATTCCGCCACATTGCTCCCACAGACTCCAGCCCATAGATAGGGCGGTATTCCGGCCAATCAAGAAGGCATACAATACTGCCATGGATGCCTATGGAAAGCGGTTTGTGCCAATATTCGAAAAACCTGGTTTTACGCAAAAAAACCTAGTTTTACGACCGTAAAACCTAGTTTTACGACCGTAAAACCTAGTTTCTCGACGTAAAACCTAGTTTTACGACCGTAAAACCCAGTTTATCGACGTAAAACCAGTTTATCGGCCGATATTGATAGTTTAATTTGATAAACCTGGTTTTAGGACCGTAAAACCTACCCAGCTAGCACGCCACGTCACTACCACGTGCCAGAAAAGTGGTATTTTGGTGACATTGGACGCAACGTTGTAGCAACGTTGCTGCTACGTTGTAAATTTGCCGACTGAGAATAAATGTGTTTTCATCTGACAGAGGGCGTTCACGTCGTTTCCAACGCAACGGTCGTTTTTATGTAGCTGAAGGGTTTGTTGAACTTATTGTAGTGCCGCTAGGGTAGACAACTACGGTTCGACAGACGTTAGGTAGTA